GTTTATGCCACTAAGCTTTGGAGTAATTTGTAATTTATTACACAGTGAGAGTACCTAGAGAGCTTTCCAGGTGGTTCAGTGGTAAAGAATCCATGTGCCAAGCAGGAGATCCATGTTTGATTCCTGAATTGGGAAGTTCCTCTGGAGAAGGAAACGGCAACCCACTCCAGTATTCTTGCCTGCAAAATCCCATGGATCAAGGAGCCTGGCAAGCTACAGTCCATCGGGTCTCAAAGAATCAGACACCACTTTGCACAATACTAATGATACCTAGAACAACACAATAGTACCTAGAACAATCACTTTTAGAGAAAGTCATTTCCACGGAGTAGTTAGGACAGACACCAGAGTGCAGTGGGTTGGGGAATGTGTAAGAGGTGAGGAAAGGGCGGGACACATGAATAAGTATAATAAGGGGAGCTCAAACTGGTGGATAGAAGAGGGCTTAGGAGAGTGCCTATCAGCTGGAGTAGACTGGACAGAGGAAAATATCAGAGGAATGTAAGAGTCAAAGCAGAGAAGAGGGGTTATAACAGAGGACATGGCAGGGGAGGTCTAGGGCAGACTTGAAGAGCTGGACTTAAATGGTCTCTACGGAGACTGGAAGAAAATAACTGGAATTTGTTGGGGCAGGAAAGCATAGCAGGATAGCATGCAAGGAAAATGGTGGTACTGGTGTGGGCAGTTCACAGGATCCTCTATCAGGTCTGGACTTTCAGCCCAGGGGACGATTGACTGAAGGAAATGGAAGACTCAAAGGGTCAGCATTTCTTGGAGGTCAGAGTACAGGTATCATGGGTATGAGATCATGAAATCACCAAAAGATTGGGAGAATGCAACCATAAAGGAGGTTACTCGAGTCTGAATGACCCAGCCCTGGGTCTTGACAAGATCCAAGATGGGGTCTGGGAATGATGGCTGAAGCAGAGTGGAGGTGAAGTCCCTTGGTATTAAAAAGATCTAAGAAATAACAGTCCAGTCAGTTGTCTGCCTGGGCACTGAAGTCTCTTAGGATGATGGAGGACCTGAACAGGAGAAGGATACTGAGAGTCATGCCACGAATGATTCAGTGAGCAAGCAGTGGACAGTTCTCAGGGTTGGGAAGGAGAGATGTTGGTTGGCATGAGGCTCTAAGAAAGATACGAATCTGACAAGCAGGGGTGTGGATGTGACAACGGAGAGCCAGGACGATGCAACCACCATGTCTGCCTCAGAGGCATAGGGTATGGGCCTGAGAGGGTGAGCTTTGTCCCAAAGGCCTACATAGAAATGAAGACTTCTGTTAAAACAGAAGGTGATGAGAGCCTTCTGAAGGATCTGGGTATAGAGGAAGCATGTGTTCACAGTGGATGGAGGGTTCCTGAGGGTGCAATGTCTATATAGGGTTTGAGAGTAGAGTGAGTCAGAAATATTAGGGCAAGAAATGGTGGGAGTGAAGGGGGCATGGAATTTGAGGTCAGGGAAGAGACTTATAAGGCCCTTGTTCTAGGCAGAGACTCTCTTAAAGTACTTAGAACAGAGGCAAGCGCCTGTGTTAGGTAGGCAGTGAGGGCCTTGTTCTAGATCAAGGTTCTTGCCCTCCAAGTCCAGTGCCCCTCCCTCAGGCAGGCCTCTCCCATTGGAGCCAGGAGCCCCCAGGCCTGGCAAATGACTGTTTTCCTAGAACTCTGTAAAGGGTGGGGGGCGGTGGTGGGGGCCGCGCCTGGCTGTGAACCCCTCAGACGGCCTGGGCATCTCTGACTCAGGAAGTCACACATAGCAATGGATCTTCCTGTTATTACTGTTCTGCTATAAATAAACCAGAAAAATGTGAGAGTTCTCGAACTCTCCCGAGAGGAAGACAATAAAACGCAATCTGACCAACCACCAGGAAGCTCATTTTAAATAACTTTCTATGCCTATTTTAAGACAGAAATGAACACACTCCTATTAATAAGCCTGGCTAACTAAGTAAGGCCTGCCTGCGGCCAGAGTGACTCTGAAAGCCTCTTTCCCCACAGAGTCCCTGTGAGTGACAAGAAGGGTGTGCTCTTGTCACCAGACAAGCCCCTGCTGATCATTACAGGTAGAAAATTCTACAAGGAAAGAGATTCCTTGACTTCTAATCCAGGTCTGGCCCTTCATGAAGGAGTTTATGCACAAAATTACAGCAGCTAAAGGATAGAGTTCACCTGAGACCAAGCGTGTTTCTTTCTGGACACCCCCCTGTGAGACTACCAACACCCTGAGGGAGCAGGTTCTGTTCTATGCCCATTTTACAGATGTGGAAACTGAGTCTTAGAAGAGTACATTCTACCCCTCCAACCCCGTCCCCACATTCTCACAGTTAGAGAAGCTGGGAATTAAGGCAGTCTAGCTGCCAAACCTGAGGAAGTAACCTCTCTGCCATCTGCCTGCCTTCCTGAGGCACAATTGTGGGCATTCCAGGTGGCCCAGTTGTAAAGATTCCGCCTGTCAATGCAGAAGACACAAAAGACATGAGTTCAATCCCTGGGTCAGGACTATCCCCTGGAGTAGGAAATGGCTACCTGATCTAGTATTCTTGCCTGGAAAATTCCATGAACAGAGAAGACTGGCAGGCTGCAGTCTATGAAGTCGCAAAGAGACAGGGCTAAGCACGCATGCATGCACTCTGAGGTACAATTTAGTTGTGTGAAAGCTTTCAAAGTCACCTTCCTTTTGCTTCAGCTCGGATGTAGTCAGGAGGCAGCTGGTCATCACGGCCACCCTGTGCCTTGCTCACGCCATCCTTCAGTGCCCTGGCTGTACTCCGCAAAGCCACTGTGGACAGAAAATCGGGTCTCCTTCAACCCAGACGCCCCCACCATCCTGCAGGGAGGTCACCCCTCGTCCATCGGACACTCTGGCTTCCTGGTTTCAAGGAGAAAAAGAGCCTCTCAGGAGAAAGGGAGCATGGTGGAGTCAGGGCTGGAGCTGAGACTAAAGGGCTCCAGGGGCTTCTCTGTGGTTTCCACCTGTCACTGCCTTTCTCGCCGTCCTCTCTAGAGTCTCACTTCTCACTGCATACCTTCTCCTGCCCGGGTGTCCTCCTGGTCTCTCCTCACATGGCAGCTCAGACTCTACTGTGTAGAACCTTCCAGTGTGTTCCTGTTCTCCAGCCCACTGCTAACTGCCTGAACGCCTCAGCATTCTTGGTTCAGATTCCTGAGGTGGGAATCTGATTGGCCCAGCTCCCTTTATGGGCTGGGCCGCAGGTCATAGGCAAACAGTCAGCCTGAGTTGGCTCAGATGACTTCCCCGCTTTACTGGACACCAGGAGTGGGACAAACAGATCCGAGGAATGTCCCTCGGCTCTTTCAGCTGGGGCCATTTGTTGAATTGTTCCTTTTAGAAGACACAATGGCTAACATTTGTACTCTGCTGCTAAAACCTCCATGGGCCCTGAGGCAGGAATGTAGGCTTCTGGAAACATTTATCAGTTCAGTTAAGTTCAGTTCAGTTGCTCACTCATGTCCGACTCTTCACGAACCCATGGACTGCAGCACACCAGGCCTCTCTGTCCATCACCAACTAACTCCTGTAGTTTATTCAAACACATGTCCATTGAGTCAGTGATGCCATCCAGTCATCTCATCCTCTGTCGTCCCCTTCTCCTCCCACCTTCAATCCTTCCCAGCATCAGGGTCTTTTCAAATGAGTCAGTTCTTCACATCAGGTGGCCAAAGTATTGGAAGTTTCAGCTTCAGCATCAGTCCTTCCAATGAATATTCAGGACTGATTTCCTTTAAGATGGATTGATTGGATCTCCATGTAATCCAAAGGACTCTCAAGAGTCTTCTCCAGCACCACAGTTCAAAAGCATCAATTCTTCGGTGCTCAGCTTTCTTTATAGTCCAACTCTCACATCCATTTATAAATAAGGGCTTTAACTGCTAGAAATGATGACGTAGAGTAAACAGACTCTCGCTCTAACTCTCCTGTTCTCTTTCAAACTGCTCCCGCACCAAAATGTCTCTCTGCCTTTAAGAGCTCTCAGATGGCAACCTCTGCCTTCTGTCCTTTCGCCACATACACCCTGGCCCTGCCACCTCTGGCACTGGCGTTTTTGCAGCTGTCACTGCCTCCCTGGGCTGACTCTGCTGATCCACTTAGCACACCTAAGCCTTGCGGTGATTTGAGGAACAACCACAGGGGGCGTTCTTCATCTTAATTATGTCACCTGTTACTTAAGGGCGTCACCATGCTCTGACCTCTGATGGATTGCGGACCCTTGATTTCATCTGCTCTTCCAATCTGTCCTCTCTGGCCACTTTGCTCAGGACCCAGGCACAACGGTGTTGGGGAAAAGGGAGGCTGACAGCCTGGGGCAAAGCTGAGGAGAGATAGCAGGTCTTTCTCTGCATCAGTCTCCATTTGGTCACCTGGGGTTGAGTTATTTCCCAGGAAGTCCTGGTCTCTCAGGCTAGTAGACTTGGGACAGGGTCTGACCTGGCTTAGAATCCACTTGACAGGTGGCTGTCATGGGCGCTGCCTCCCAGGATCAACAGGACAGAGGACTTTGGGGTGAAAAATACAACAGGACAAGTACTCTGCACCAGAACTCATGGGGAAGCTGGTAGGCAGTAGGCAGATTGGCTCTCAAGTTTACACTGGTCTCCTCTCTATACACCTCTGTCTGCCTAGGCTTGAGGTGATACATAGAAAATGATAGAGCTGTAGGGAGAGGAAGTGGGGAAGAGATCAGGCCCAGACAACAGTGGACGTCGGGCAATAAGTTAAGCATTCACAGGTGCTAGAGCACCAATTATCTTAAGGGTGATTTCCCTCTGGAAGCCAGTCCTTTGCAAGGGACATAGCCTAGCCCCGTAGGTCAGCTGGGAGCAGATGGTAAGATTTGATGTGACACTTAAAGCACATTCTCAGGAGCCAAACTGAATGCATGGGAATCCTAGCCACACTCACCAGCTATGTGACCTTGGACTGGTTAGTACAAGCCTTGGTTTCCTTATCTGTGAGACAGAAGTCACCAAAGGACATACCATGTCGGGGCACTGTGAGCAGGCCATCAGATAATGCGTGCAGAGTGTGCAGAACAGCATCTTGCATGCAGCGCTGTGTTGACTGTCCTTGCGGAACTCGTTGCCTCTTACCCTCTCCAACAAGAGTGTAAGTTCCTCGTGGATTTCAATATATTTTTTCTTATGGTACATCAGTGTTGATAATTGGAAAATAAGTGAGTGAATGCTTGGAAAATAAACTTATTTACAAAGCTCCAGTGAAGAAGATCTTATTAACTGTGGTAAGACCTCTATGATTTTATGTATTTGCTGAGGCTCATTCCTTCAGTGTGGCGGGCCAGGCCACACCCAAAACCACCTTCATCCCCATAAATGCACCCACAACTACAAACTCCATGCCCACTCCCCTCCCCACACTCTCCCCATCCCTGTAAACCTACCCACATCTGCACACCCCATGGCCACTGCCCTCCCCACACCCTAGCCCACCCCCATCACCCGTCTCCGCACACCCCTGTACTCAACCTTCTCCCCCCACCCTCCCACACATCCACACCCCAAAAGCACACACACAGCCTCTCACACACAGCCACACCCACTCCCCCCACAGATTTCCCTCTCTGCACACCCATCCTCACACACGCACCCCCCCCCCCACACACACACACACTCCCATCCTGCTACTATCTAAGGAATGCATTTTCCTTCTATATGCTTCTTTAGGGTAAGTCAGGAAAAGAAAATGAGCTTCCTGACTGCTTTAGGTCTCCAACCCTCATCCCTTTCCATCCCACCTCCACTTCGCTCTACTTGTTCTCTCAGTGAAAAGAACAGAGCCCTGGGAGGTCTGGACCTGAGTTTCTCAGGTGCCACTGAAATGAAGCCATAGTTCAGAGGCTCTCAGAGTTGGAATCTCCTTCAAGTTCCTCCTAACAGGGGGAAGCTCATTTCCTCTTTGGCTCTCTGGACAGAAACGATTCCTTTCTCAGTCCCAGAGGAACATAGCTAGGCCTGCTATGGAGCAGCTCAGGTCTGTCTGGGATCCCCTCAGGGGAGTGTCTACCCACTTTTAGCTCATCTCTGCAGTGGTTCTCACATTGCCTCCACAACCGAGGGGAGAAAGCTCACTTATAGTTAACACAAATATTTGTTTAAGATATTTTGATTAATTTTTATTGATTTATTTATGTGGCTGTGCCATGTCTTAGCTGCAGTGTATGGGATCTAGTTCCTTGTCCAGGGATTGAAACGGGGCCCCCTGCATTGGGAACTTGCAGTCTTAGCCTCTGGACCACCAGGGAAGTCCCTGTTTAAAACATTTAACAAATATTTATATTCGAGGAATATAATTTAAACCTCACAGCACTGTTAGGATGGGTGACTCTCCATTTTACAAATGAGAAAACTGAGCATAGAAGTGTTCACTGACTTGTCAGGGGTCACACACGATGGACATTGTAGAGCCCAAACTAAGATTTTTCTGACTCCAAAAGTGCAACTAAAAATTGAAAGAGCCTCCCTGTAACCTTAGGTTCAGGCAACAGCTTTGCCATCACATGGCCTTATCTTCTACTGGTCTAGTGACACGTAGAGCCTTTTCCTGTGATAAGCTTTGATATGAAACCACATGTGACTTGGCAGCTCTGACTTTCTGGGGGAGATGCAAGCACTTTCTCTTGTCTCTGGCAAAAAGCCTCTCCATCCAGCCACCCACCCACCCATCCATTTACCTGTCTACCCATCCAACCGTCTATCCATCCTCCTACCCATCTAACTAAAACCTCTCTGATCACCAATTTATTCATCTATAAAATGATAGTTAATGTAAGGTTTAAGTGTTACAAACACGTTAAGTACCTGACGTATAGTGATGCATTAACATTTATTCCATGATATCTTTGCCTAGTTAAGGAGTCAGCTTCAGGGGGATGTTAATTCTTTGGAATGTCCCACTCCTGCGGCCGGATAATGTTCAAAGAGCTCTGTCCTTTGGTTCACGGCTTTGGGGACCTGGGGTTATTTGGATGCCTGTGTCCTTTTTATTAGATGTGTCTCTCTGACCTCAAAAGAGAACAGCAAGAAAGTCCTATAAAGGAAAACTGTGGGCAGGAGGATCACGAATGATGTAAACCAAAGTCAGCAGCAGCCTATAGGCTTCATCTTAAAAGAGTCAGGCACAGGGTTGGGGGGTGGGGGTACGGACTGGAGAGCAGGAAGTTTTGATTAGCTTCCCCTCCTTTCCTCCTGACTCCTTATCTCTCAAGAAGGAAACTTGTGCAACATTGAACTATAAAAATCCTCTGTTGCAGCTTTGATGTGTCTTCTCTGTAAAAAGCTCAGCCTGGCCCTGGGGAAGAAGATGATGGAAAACTTAAGGTCTGGACTGTGGTGAACAAAGTCAGCGAGGCTGCAGCCCAGACAGTGTTCTGGGGATGATGACCATGGAACTGGTTATGCTTGATATCTCTACAGTACTTTACAGCTTGCCCAGTTTCCATATGTGCCATCACTTCACAACCCTGTACGTCAGGAAGGATAGGCACGTCTAGACTGTAGGGGATCAAAATACGCCACCTCAAAATACGCCACTTTGGCAGAAGGATGATTTTGAGCTGAAGACAACTGAGAAACAGCAGACACCAAAAAAATCTCTCTGTCCTCAGACTCCAGGCTTCCCTAGCGGCTCAGAGGTGCAGAAAACACCTGCAATGCTGTAGCCATAGCAGACACGGTTTCGATCCCTGGGTCAGGAAGACCCCCTGGAGGTAGAAATATAGCAACCCTCTCCAGTATTCTTGCCTGGAAAATTCCATGGACAGAGGGGCCTGGCAGGCTATGGTTCATAGGGTCGCAAAGAGTAAAACACAACACACAACTGAGGCAACTTAGCAAGCATGCATGCCCTCACCCTCTATTTGCTTAAAAGCAGAATATAAATTTCTATTTGCAAAGGTGTCTCCCTCTCCTGTGCTAGGAAGATGAGGACCCCGGAGGACAACTTCTTAGCCTCTTAATTGCAGGAGACAACTCTATGCTCTTATCAGCTCCGAGATGGCACCATGAGGACTCTCCATTACACATCTTACTAAAATAATCCTTATCTTCCATCAGTTTCCCATGTATTTGCCTACGCAGGCTTTCCTTTGTCTTATTACTGCTCTACAAATTTATTGTTTTTCATTAAGATGCTATATAAGCCCCTTTGAGGCACTTATCATTGAGTTTCTCCTACATGCATGCATGCTGCAGTCATTCATAAGCTGTGCTAATTTGTTTCTTGTTTATCTGTCTTTCATCAGTTTCTGGGCCCCAGCTGCAGAACCTAGGAGGACAGAGGAAAAAGCTTTTTTTTTTAGTTGTTGTTGTTTTTCAGTCGCTAAGTGGTGTCCAACTCTGTGGTCCCATGAACTGTAGCTCGCCAGATTCTTCTGTCCGTGAGATTTCCCAGGCAAAAACTCTGGCGTGGGTTGCCCTTTCCCTCTCCAGGGGATCTTCCTGACCCAGCAATCAAACCCATATTTCCTGCATTGGCAGGTGGATTCTTTGTCTCTGAGTCACCAGGGAAGCCCCTTTCCTCCCCTACAATACCTATTATACAGATGAAGACACTAACCAACAATAACTAGCTGTTCTCCAGATCACTGAGTCTTCAAACCAATCTCCTGACTCCCAAGAGCCTCCTACCCCATTCCAGACCTCCTTTTTTCACAAGGCCCCTAGATACTGGGGAAGAGTTATTTCACCGTGTCTTAGGCAGTTATGACTTCCAAAACAGTTTGGAGAGACTGCTCTTAGTTTTTCCTTGTCTTTAAGTTTTTAACTAATTCATTCCAACTTGACTTTACAGAGTACCTGCCCTGTGCACGGTGCTGTCCTCCTGAGCAAATGCAGGCCTTTGCAAGTCAGTAGGTGAGGGGCGTGGTTGTGAACTGGCTGCCCTGGGAGCATCAGGTTACCCTGCCAATAACCTCCTGGAGGGAGTGACTCAGCAGCCCAGACCTAAAAGATAAGTCAGAGGGACTCAGGCAAAGCAAGAGAGGGTTCTGGGTAGAGGAATCCCTGCCTGCAAACACCAGGATGCAAAGAGCTTGGTGAGTTTGGGGAAGTGAAGAGGTTCAGTAGCTGGGAGGGTGGAGTGGAAGCAGGAGGAAGGGGAACTGGGAGATGCAAGGCTGTTGAGTGGCAGGGGACAGAGGTCAGGGGACTATGTAACAATGTTGAGGAATTAGTCTTCATCCTAAGAGCAACGGAAGCCTTCGGAAGGATTTATCTGGGGCCTCAGATGGTTACGACTGCATCTGACTGATGAGTGAAGAATGGGTTGGAAAAGGCAGGATGTAAAGAGTTAAACCTGGGGGATTTTCTTTTTCAATATTTTTTCAACATATCTTCACTGCTAGATTGAGAACTCCTGGAAAGCAGAAAAATGAGTCAGAAATACAGTCCTGGAGTTGCCAGCGCTCCCACAGAAGCACATTTCTGGAAGAAACAAGACTTTATTAGTATCGCCAAACAAGAGTCTATGTAGATTCAGGCCTGCCCTCAAAGAGCCCACAATCTAGTGAGGCATATAGACATGTAAAACTCTACCTTGGTGTCTGTACCAAGTCCTATAGGAGCCCCATGGGGGCATGGCTAGCTTTGCAGAGATCATGAAGGCTTCTCGGAGGAAGTGACATCTGAGCTGGGTCTTGAAGGATGGAAAATAGTTTGCTGGGTGGCTAAGTTTTGATCAAAGAATAAAGATCTTAACTTTATTAAAGGATGATAAAGTGAGAGATTAGAGTCACTTCTTGGGAGACATTTGTCAGGATGGCCCCATACCTGCATCCTTGCTTTATAGGTGATACCTGAATCCCCCACCTCACCTCATCCCCAGATGCCAACCCAACAGTGGGACTTCAAGACTTCTATCCTCGGACATTTTCTTCACATAAAAATGTGAAGGAAACTTGGTATAAAATTGCCATTAAGAGGAGATGGACCTGGCTTCAAATCAGGGTGCTGTCACACTGACTTATTAGGCAAGTCCCCTTGACCTCTCTAGACCCTCATTTCTCATCTGTATAATGGCAGTAACA